AATCCTGGCAGCTTTCTCTCTCTCTCTCTCTCCTTCTCACTCTGTCCCTCTATGCTTAAATTTTAAAAAGAAATAAATAGAAAAAGAAGACTGATTCCTCCATGGGCGCTGAGAACTAGTGCTTTCAGGGAGTAAGAGAAACGAAGATTTTTTGCTGAGATTTCACTCTCCAGACCCAGCCTGCAGAGGTAGAGCTTCCTATATGCCTCTCTGTCTCTTTCTATCTCTGTCTTTTCATATTTTTATAAAATTTTTAAGGTAAAGTATTTTCTTGCTCAAATCCTTTATTTTGCTAGTAATCCCCTTTCCCACCTCCCATTTAGGAGAGGCAAAAGGGCAAAAGAAGACGGACTCCTCCATGGGAGCTGAGAACCAGTTGAAGTGAGCTGCGGGTTTTCAGTTTTTGCTTTTTAAAAATAATTTATTTTTCTCTTTTTGTTTTTTTCTCTCTTTCCTTTTCTCTTTCTCTGTTTCCTTATCTGCTTTCTTTTACCTCATCGCTTTGCTGCTCAGCCTCCACCCACTGAGTGTCTAGACAGCTCTAAGTGAACCGTAGCCGAACATCCAAACACTATTAGGGTCAACGTATTCCTCAATTCCCACTGAATCTGCCACACAGAGGGAGAAAACTGGAACGGTAATGCCACACAGAGGGAGAAAACTGGAATGGCAAAGAGATCGCAGGCCACCTCCTCCTGCCTGCCTCTGAACGCTCAGATTGAACTTCTAGAAATTAGGAAGAAATGTATAACCCCTCAGGTGATCAGAAATCACCACTGAGGCACAAGAAATATGAGAAATCAAGAAAATACCTCTCCCTCAAGGGAAAAGAGTAACTCCTCTCCCTCCACAAACAGTACAATGGAACTCGCAGAAATGTCTGATAAAGAATTTAGAATATCCATAGTGAGAAAGCTAACAGAGAAGAGAGACAATGAACTTCAGAAGCAGCAGGAGAAAAGAGCCAACGAGTTTCAGGAGGTGAGGAAGTTCTTTCATGATCTGAAAGAGGAAATTTACACCATAAAAAAGAATTTAATAGAATTTTTCAAGATGAAGGCTATAGTCATGATCTGAAAGAGGAAATTTACACCATAACAAAGAATTTAGTAGAATTTTTCAAGATGAAGGCTATAATACAGTAAGGCATCCCGAGAGGAGAATGGAGCAGGGATTGCGGCGTGACCATCCCCCCTGGGGGGTGATTTCAAGCTTTCTGTCTCTCTGTCTCTCTGTCTGGCGAGCACACGCGCCCTATAGTGAAAATCTCTCCA